ATCCCAGGGACGGGGGAGCCCGGTGGGCTGCCGTCTATGGGGTCGCACAGAGTCAGACACGACTGAAGTGACTTAGCAGCAGCAGCAGGGTTAGCTCTCTGGTAGTCTAGGGTCTTGGAGTCAGTGCGCCCACACCGAAGGCTCAGGGCTTGATCTCTGAGGAGGTCATTTCTTCTCTTTAGGCTGATGAATTCCTTTGGAAAACTTCAAGGGCTGAATCTTTGAGGATGCCTGGTGAGCATCACTCAAGCCTCTGTGGATAGCAGACATGATAGACTATCTGTTGTCTCCTAATTGTCCACAGTCCTTTTCAGTGTCTTTTCTGCATCTCACATTTCACTGGTACCTCTCTGTGTCATTTTAATGAGTTTAATTTTATTTTTGGCTGTGCGTGGGCTTTCTCTAGTTCCAGCGACTGGGGGCTACTTTCGAGTTGGGATGCTTGGGCTTCTCATTGCCATGACTTCTCACGTTGCAGAGCACAGGCTCTAGGGTGTGTGGGCTTCAGTAGTTGTGGTGGGTCCATGGCCTTTGTTGCCCCATGGCATATGGAATCTTCTTGAGGCAGGGATGGAACTCACATCCCCTGCACTGGCAGGTGGATTATTAACCACTGGACCACCAGGGAAGTCCTGTGTTATATTTTAGATTGCATATAACAGTGATAGGGTTTCATCTGCCTCTGACTTCACTTAGCACAACAATCTCCAGGTCCATCTGTGTTGCTACAAATGACATTATTTCATTCTTTTCAATGGGTGAGTAGTATTCCATTGTATATATGTACCATATCTTCTTTATCCGTTCATCGGGTGATGGACATTTATGTTATTTCCATGTCTTGGCTATTGTGAGCAGTGCTGCAATGAACATTGAGGTACATGCGCCTTTTTGAGTTATAGTTTTGTCCGAACATATGCCCAGGAGTGGGACTGCAGGATCATATGGCAGCTCTATTTTAGTTTTTTTCTGAGGAACCTCCAAATTATCTTTCATAGTGGTTGCATCAATTTACGTTCCCACCAACAACAGGAGTGTTCCCTTTTCTCCACACTCTCTCCAGCATTTATTTGTAGACTTTTTAATGATGGCCATTCTGACCACTGTATGGTGATACCTCATTGTAGTTTTGGTTTGTATGTCTGTGAAATCAACCATCAATGTTGAGTTTCTTTTCATATGCAAGAGCTGAGGGTTCGATTACTGGG